GGAGGTGGTTTCAATGACACAACTCCTTTATGAGCCAAGGGTAAGCAGTGTGATTGGCCATTTCCAATGGACACGAAAGTCAGCTGTATTATTTTCGGACTCTACGATCGTGTGATGTGACACTCAAGCAAGTATACACGTGAAGAGCACTTTTCAAGTTGAAGCATGTATATGGTCATGGGGTCTATAGAATAGTGCAGCAATTTAATGAAGCGCATATATATCTATGGGTCTTGAGACCGAACCTTACCGAAAACGGATTAGTTAAGTTTGTACAAGCAACTCTCGTTTTCATTGAAGGAAGATGACTTCGGTTGTCAGTTTGTCGACATTTAGAAGTACTAAGAGAGAAGATTCCGTAACCTAATGGGAAACTCTAGCACTCCTTAATTTAGGATAACAGAGAGATGTTCTAGACAGAGCTCCTTTGATTCTAGAGGGTAGATTTACGCCAGCATGAACGTTAGCAAAGTGTGAGACCAAAAATTCGATGATAATGGTGAGTGAAATGGCCTAACATACGTGTCAAGTCTGGTTAATAAAAAATGAGTGGCTGAATTGTGATGTCGTGACGATATCACCCTTCTACGAAAGATTGGTGTTGGAAAAACAATTAAGTGGAGTATGCTAGTTATAATGGCAGTTTAAACTTAACAACAAAATACTTTAGAAAAAGTTTCCACCTGGCTCCAAAAAATGTAGCAAACAGTATAAATGTTTACATCCAAATAAGTGTGTCCGTTTGGACGTTAGAATAGGTATTAGGTTGGCAACTAAGTCATTGCCGATTTCAAATAAGAAGGCAAATTCGGAATTTTTGTTTAAAAATATAACTTTATTCAATTAGATATTGGCCGTTCTTGTCGATGACCTCTTTCCATCCTTCTGGCAGAGTAAAAATTCCCCCTTCGTAAAATGTCTGGTCTTTGCTATTAGAAAACTGAATTAGGTGTGATCCGACATCATCCGCGTTGTTAAAAATTTGACCATTTAAAGAGTTTTGCATGGAACGAAACAAATGGTAATCCGAAGGCGCAAGGTCAGGGCTATATGGTGGGTGTGACAAAACATCCCAACCCAGTTTCAATAATGTTTGCCGATTAACCAAAGATGTGTGGGGCCTTGCGTTATCATGATGGAAAACAACACCCTTCCGCCGATTTGATAATGCCGGCCGCTTATCTTCAATTGCATCCTTCAGTTTTTCGAGTTGTTCAACATACACATTTGAATTTATCGTTTGGTTCTGCGGCATGAGTTCAAAATACAAAATTCCTTTGTGATCCCCCCACCAGACTGACAGCATTATCTTTTTTTGGTGAATCTCTGCTTTTGATACTGTTTGGGCTGGTTGATCTTGCTTCACCCATGATCTCTTGCGAGTAACATTGTTATAAACTATCCACTTTTCGTCGCCAGTAACTAGGTTCTTCAGAAATGGATCATTCTCATTGCGTTTCAGTAGCGGCGAATCACAGATGCTAATCCGTTGCGTCAAATGAATTTCCTTTAACTGGTGAGGGATCCATAAATCAAGTTTCTTGACATAACCAAGGGTTTTTCATTTTTTTCAATGCATGTATGCGACACATTGAGCTTCTCTGCAATATCTCGTGTTGTGCTGTGACGATTTGAATCGATAATGGCCTTGATATGGGTTTCATCCACTTCGACTGGGCGGCCAGATGGTTGTGAATTTTTCAGTGAAAAATCACCGGAACGAAATCTTTCAAACCAATTTCGACACTGCCTTTCTTTTAAGGCTCCATCTCCATATACGGCACATAACTTCTTTTGTGCTTGCGATGCGTTCTTGCCTTTTCGGAAGTAATACAATAAAATGTGTCGGAAGTGCACGTCCTGTTCTTTCATTTTTAAATTGGGATAAAAACAAAACTAAAGAACTAAACAAAAAAATTTTGTACTAATTAACCTAGAAGCCCATACAGTAAGAAAAAAAATATAGGTTAGATGCTCTGGCCACGTTAACAAAACAAAAGAAAGTATAGAGTGAATCTGTCAACAAAAACGGCAATGACTTAGTTGCCCACCCAATAGATCAGACAAATTTGTCATGATCAGCTCATCAATTAAATATAGTGGTTAATCTGGTTTAAACACTGCGGATAAGTGTGTGTGCTTTGAACCAAACACTCTTATCGAAAAACCAGTTTTGAGGGTCCGGAATTCAGATGAAGTGCGGTAGCTCTTCCACTGCGCCAACTTTCTTTTCTTCCTTCTAGAATTGATACCCCAAATTCTATAGTTGAGGATTGTAAGTTTTCTGGTTCTACACACGCATGCACCAACACCAGAAATTCTCAACAGTAATAGTTGCTGGCATGATAGTAAGTTTTTGTTTTGCTAAACCCACCCCAGACGCCCACTTCGTGGATGACTGTCTTTTAAATGGCCCACAGAAGAATTTAGAGAATAACTCACTGAGAAATGTCCTCAAATGAGACGTAGACGTTATCCCATCTCCAAGAGGAAGGTCGGTAGTGGTGCACAAGGTAGGCCAACAGCTCTTCTGTCTTATCCGGAAGGGCAGCAAACTTGTCTTCGGCTATTTTAGCCCGCGCCTCGTCTGACCAACAGACACGACATTGTTGGGGAGAGGGGAACACCTGTATTTGAATAGATGCAAAGACTAATTAAGTGAAACATTTGAGATATCTCAAGAATAACCAATTTACCAAAACGAAAAAGTCTAATAATGTCGATTTCCATTTCTCAAGGTGCAAGATCAAATCTCATGGGGGTTCGCGCGCATTTAAAGTCACTAACTACAAGTAAATAACCACTGGAAAGAAATACGAGGAGTAGTCAGTATTCAATAGAAAAGTGATATCCATGACGATCTAGAGAGTAGTAATGTACATTAAATAATGTCAATTTTGGCCAATAAAGGAACTTGGAGATCTCATTATTACCTCAAGATAACTTTCCCATATTTGCTTAAGCAAACTTCCAATGCATACACAAATAAGAATTTAATCTTCTCTCAATAAACTAAAAACTAATCGATTTACAGTTGTCGATCGTCTGTGATGAGGTAGGAACACAAAAAAATAGAGTATTTTTTCCTCTTTTGAAGAATTGATAGATAATTTATCTTAAAAATCCTTTTAACTAAACACCCACATACTGTTCAGTAAATTTTAACCTTATTTTGTCAATTTTAGACGAGCCAATAACAACTCTGGTAAAAAATCGATCGAATAATCCCCTATATTTTCAGAGTCCAAATTAAATACTGATAAATTCCCATGAAAACCCACATTAAAATTAGACCCCAAATACCGATATTGAGGCAAAACTACCCTCAGAAAAAAAGTGTTTATATGAGGTCTAAACCGTTTTTTTCGGAGTGAATTCGTCAACTAACCTCCTTAGGCATCTCAACATTGACAGAAAGACGTTTATTGACTACATTGTGGGCAATATTGAGCCAGAGAACTTCATCCCGAGCTGACTTCGGTGCAACGGGCAGAGTGGACGGATCTGGCTCTTCAAGAGGGAAGGGTGTTACAATAGTAGGACGATCAGGATAGATTGCCTCTCCAGGAAGACGTACGTTGGAGGTCATTTTAGCGAAATGGAAACCGCAATAGCCGCAACTGAAGAAATGTGGCACGAAACGATTCAGGGCGTGAGCAATTGGGGCTTTGTCGTCTGGAAGAAGAATAGAAAGAGAGTTTTTTCACCTTCAAGCCTGTATCCTTTGATGCGAGCTCCAAGGTATTATTGGCCTACTTTTAGGCAGATATCTTAATTCTGCAATATCACTATAACGCAGAGACATTCCCAAAAATGAATGTTGTTCAATAAATATGGATGTTAAATTATTTCTGGCATAGGTACTTCAAGTGGGAAAAATATATTCATCGAAATCAAAGCGACCCTCCATTGGAGTTGAAAGAATGTGATCAATCAACTAGAAAAAAATTGAGTTTGACCTAATGATAGTGCGCGATAGAATTACCTGGCAGCGTATACTCTTACGACAAAATGTCTATAAACCGCCAGTGACTTCAAACTACCATGACCCCAATGTATGTCATATTCCACCACTTCCACAATACCCACCTTACAACTGTGAATCACTCTTCTGTTCCCCCTCTCCACTTTTTTCTTGCTTTGATATACCTTCCTTGTGTAAAGCCCGAAGTGAAATAAAGGACTAATGATAACTATCACAAAGATCTATCAAAATAATGGTCAATTCAACTTATTCTGAGCTTTGTAAACTAATTCCGCAAGCATTACCTGGTTTTTCGTTCATGAGGTATCTGTTTACAGTCATGGAATGGAACATAATCCATAGTCCGCAAGGGTATCCACGAAGAAAAGGTTTGATTCCACGGCATGCGATATGATTCACTTCATCCGTTGAAAGCTAAATGAAAACAAATGAGGGGAATAAATTTAACGAAGGCAAAATCAGTAATTCAACTGTTTGCTGAACATGCCTTCAGTTTCGCGACAAGCACAGTCCAGTCCTCTCTTGAAATTACTGATTGACCGGCTACTGACTTTTGGAGATAATCAATTTCTTCATTGTATTGTGGACCCAGATCCAGATACTACAGGAAAGAAGAAATTACAAATTTGCAGTAAAGACAAAATAAGCGCTTCATCAATGGTCTACATTTAAGCTGTAAAATTACTGATTGATTTGGGGAAAAGTGATTGTTCGACCAAGGTTCTATACAAAAAAAACGCATTCTTAGATCTCATGAGTCTGTAAAAAACATGCGGTCGAAGCTTCCACTCCTACATCTCGCATAACTCAAGAAATGGTGAAAGTAGTCAGTTTACTCAAGACTCCTTAGAGTATAGTTAAGTCCAGGGTTGAAAACCTCTCAAAATTCAATAAGACAGTTTTCACAACACTTGGGTGGGGGGAGGGGGGGTGGAGTTATCCAGGAGCATACATTCAACTACTTCTACAGTATTCATCAGTGGAGTTGGCCATCCACATCATTGGGTATGCTCACCAATGACGGACGTTGAACATTTTCTTGCCAGAACACAAAAGGTAAAAGGAGGAATTGAATGCCACTGGCTCCAGAGGCCCAAGTGTGCACGCAATGGTGAGTAGACTTGTTGACAATTGATAAAATATTGAAAGCAGACAAGATTGATAGTTTAACTAAGAGAGTACACGCCTAGGCGATAGGATTGAATTCGGTATTTGAAAACAGGAAGGACAAATAAATTGAGGGTAAATGGCCAATAAAAAAACTAGTCCAAGATCCTATCCGCGGTTCTTTTGAAGTCTGTTTATAAAGGGAGCTAAGTTTTGAACTTAGATAATGAGATTAATTGCTACTGCGTGTCATCTATTTATTAATGGAAAATACAACGGCTTACAACTGGGTTGTGATCACAGCTAAAACATCTATCACATAGTGCACTTAACTTAACTTAACTTAGGGCAAAAATTGTAAAATCTGGAATATCATTCCTCATAATGTTGCCATTAAAACAATGACTTAAACTTAGCTCACATTGCCACGTCATAGTGATACCAACGTATTTAAAATGAAAATGATTTGGCATTGCATAAATCATATGATTTTGCCCTTAAAGCGATAACGACTAGGTCATTCATTTATCCCAAAATAAGCTCGATAATTATTAAGATTATTAAATCACATATCTAATACGCCCAAATGCTTGATTTAAATTGCATCCTATCAGACTAGACGGGATTTTTCTTGTTTAAGATGCGTGAGAGTTAGTGGACAGAAAGCAGACGCGTTTATTTGGGTCATTTCTGAGGTGACCCAAATCAGCCAAATATTAAAAATAACTTCGTTGAAACCATATCAATTCTGAAATAATTGCCTTAACTGATGGGACACAGTGGGGTGAAGCCGAGTAACGAATCTCAGAACACAAATCGACGATTCTAAGTGTGACAAGATTTCTTGTGAATCAGAATTAGAATTTATATGAACAAATTCAGTATCCATGGCTGATCGCAACCATATTTCACTTTATTCTCTTAAAACGCACTGAACAAAAATGCAATACAATGGTCGCATTTTCATTATACCCAAATAATTTAAGTATTTAAAATACATTCCAACAATGTGCAATGCAAACAACCAAATCCATTAGCAAATACGCTCCAGTAGCCAGTAACGGTATGAACAAAGCCCAGATGAATTTGAGATCATCTCCTCGAAATTATATTTAAAGCAAGGAGTATGCGATAGACTGACCTCCAAGTGGTGCACCCTGGGCAACGTAAACTCATACGGCAAAAAAGTCTATTGATTGGCAGTTGACTTCAAACTACCATGACCCCGCTGTATGTCATATTTGACTATTTCTACATTACTCGCCTCACCTTTTTTATACCTTTGTGTCTGTCTTTGAAACACTCTTCTGTTCCCCCCCCCCTCTCGACTTTTTTCACTTTGATGTTCCTTCCCTCTGTGAAGCCTGAAGTCAACTAAAGGGCTAATGATAACTGTCAAAACGCCTGCAATTTGATATAAATATTTGAAGCAAAAAAACGAGCCATTTTAGCCCCTTAAATATACATATTTCGCCTGCCTAAATCACACACACTTCGCACTCACCAAGTATATGATAACACAGTGTCTGGTTGATGTTTTAGCCAATCAGATGCCGCTAAGCGATGATTGAGGCACACTACTTGGCTATAGTGACTAATTCCAGTAACGAATTCCGTGTGGGCGTAAGCAAATCGGACCCGGAATTGGAGTTTTGACAACGCCTCTGCAATCTAAATTTTGCACAATCGAAATCGGAGAAACTTGGCCACTAGGCCATATGACACAAAAATTTCAGCAAGTAGTGCAGAAAAAATGAGACCTCACCATATTTCTTATTCCGCAGCATAAAAAATAGAAAAAGGCTTACTCCAGCCTCAGTCAGACTTTACACTGGTGAAGAGGATGAAGTTTGACAGAAGGAAGCCATCTTAATATCTCATTGCATCCGCATTATATTTGAGATTGTAAACTTAGCCTAATTTGCTTACTCAATTAATTTATGGTGATTAATTTGTAAAATATTGGCACTAATATGAATAATAAAATCATATCGAATAGGAGGCTCACTGAATATCCCTAGTAATCAACGCACCCGTTAATTATATGAGGAAGTTTAGAAAACCGAAAGTTGCAAAATAACGCAGCTTTATACCTCAAAAATATTTAACTTATTAATTAAGGATGTTCTACATATTGGTATGTAATCTAAATGGTCTGTACCAGAGAGTATAATTATCATCGCAAACAAAAGAAGGGTCTAAGGTTCAATATTTTTTATGTTCGAATATCGAAGGCATTTTTGTGCATATTAAATAACGCGACAGAGACGGAACCAGGTACCCATGCACTAACAAATTAAAAGGTCCTGTGATCAGATAGGGGAGGGGGGGGGGGGTTGGCAATTTGTTTTAATCACAGAAATTTCAAAGCGCTAGTTCAGTCTCTTAAAACAAGAAGAAGTTTCGAATTGGTAAATAAATATATTCGGAAAAGTCGTATTGCGAAGTCCTTGATAAAGAAAGGCAGTTATAATTAACTATAGACATGTTAAAACTGATAATCAAAACGCGTTTGATCATCTCATCTACATGGCCTTGGGACGAATAGACTTTTGAACCATAATTGTTAAGTATCAGGCCAATAAGCGCTGGTTAACGTGGAGAATAGTTTACTCAGTGTTCAATTGTAAGCTAAAAATCGAACGGCGTAGAACGCTTTTGTTGCCATTAACATTTAGTAGAGTTCATGCACCTTGCAATAGGTCATAGTAAAAATTCCGATTATTGAAATGTCCCAAATAGAAAATGACGTAAGTTAACAATGCCCAAAGTACTTTGATTGACCAATTGGTGTATTTTAGACGAAAGAGTGTTTACGAAGGAAAAAACTGGCCAAAATGAAACATAGCTTGTTAGAATGACGTGACAAACTGTGGTAGAGATTAAGAAAACTTTAGATCATTTCGATAATGCCAATTTGAGCAGTGCTCCAACTTCTTCGTGCAAGATTTTAGAAGATAGGTCAAAAGCAGAAAGAGTATAAACAACACGTCATTTTATGACCAACTAGAGTGAAATCTCTCAATAAGTAGTTAAGGTAACAAGGCATTCATTATGTGGCAGTATAGTTGGTGGGAAAGTTTCTGCATTCGATAATAAAAGAAGTAATACGAAAAAATCTATTATTTAATTAATTGAATGATAGACTTTAAGATTATTGATATCGATCAATTCACCACAATCGATACGACTTGACTAAGCTTGAAAAATAATACTACAACTACCTGCAAGAAGCTACAAATGAATCACCTAAATGAACAATTACAAGCTTTCAATTGAGAAACAAATGGCCAAAAAGCCATAAAAAGGGTGGACATAAACACGCTCAAAAAAGGAGAAATCTAATAGTTAAAACTGAAATCAAAAACAGACGGACTAACTCCTAATATCTCGACATTATTGTCTGCCACCATATTCGGTTCATTCTTCATCCTAAAGTGTTCAGATATGACTCTACGATCAAAACTTGCTATGCTCGCAGTCCTGGAAGGATGTGTGCATAGGCGAATAATGATGTCAGTGGTGGTGGTGCCTGACTGCCTACGGGGAGTGGCGCACTGTTGGCGTTGAGTGAAGGGGTGTGCGATAGACTTACCTCCACGTGGTGCACCCTGTTGGGTGTGCGATAGACTTACCTCCACGTGGTGCACCCTGGGAAACGTATACTCATACGGTAAAAAGTCTATTAACCGGAAGTTTGTGTGCGATAGACTTACCTCCACGTGGTGCACCCTGGACAGGTATGTCATACGGCAATAAAGTCTTTTAACTGGCAGTTGACTTCTCACTTCAAACTAGCCTCACCCTATTATATGTCATATTCGACTACTTTCACAATACCTCACTTTTTTCTACCTTTGTGTTTGTCTCTTACATGTTTGAAACACTCTTCTGTTCTCCCCCCCCCCTCTCGATTTTTTTTCAATTTGATGTTCCTTCCCCTCTGTGAAGCCTGAAGTCAACTAAAGGGCTAATGATAGCCATCAAGACGCCTGCCATTTGATATAAATAAACGATCAAAACTTGTAAGAGCCTTGTCGTGAATTTTCATAGATAGTAATAAACCTCGCAAAAAGAGTTCTTTTTTCTACAAATTGGCGCTACTGTTTACCGTTTAGAGATTACAATTAATCCTATTCAATCTAAACAGCTTGATCAAGAACACACGATTCAAATGTTCATTCCTACTTGCGTGGTTAGTTTGATAAAAAAGCATAGTTAAGTATAACTTTTGTTCAGAAAAATATGTGTAAATATTAACGAATGAGAATCGCGAAAAAATCGAATGTGCTTTGCAACCGAACCAAATAATATTTAGAATTGCAGTTCATTTTGATTAATCAAGATGGAAATGGTACAATTTCCTAATAAACACCTTAATTAGATTCCGCATCCAATAGCAAGCGGTATCGCAATATTTCATAAACTTAACCGCAAAATCACCAAGAGCGTTCATAATGCACTATCGTACAATAAATGCAAGAGGTATGCAAACTTAACTATTACGAATGAATTATATTGTAATCAATCTGATTTCCATTAAATTTAAGTCCTTCTGGTAAAAAGCGGTGTTCACAGCCAATCAGATGAGTAGCAACATAGAAGCTGTTGCATACCCTCGTCTACCTATTTCATGGCTGTAATAAGATGCTAATTAATCTAACAACAATTTCGTCAATTGAATTAAACGATCAATAGGGACCTCTTTCAGGAACCCAAGGAACAAATCATGACAATCAAAATTTAATTATTTGAAGGATATAAAAAAATGTATTCGTTGTATGATAGTTACAATAAATTTAAGCCCACGATATCCTAACTCCGCCATATACTCAAAAGTTCGATTCCAGTTTCATCTTTTATTGACCAATTATATGAAAACTTGCAAAAGTATTATTTAATAATTTTGGCAAATAATCATAAAATGTGCCTCGTGTACCTCTTCCCATGGCAATAACTTTCGAAACTGTCATTTTATTTGTGTCTTTTAGACAAAGAAATACAACGTCAATTCACAGCACAAAGAAGGTAGAGGAGAAAAATGTTACCCTCCAAATGGAACTTCGCACCACAACCTTTGGATCATCAGTGGCTTTTTGATGCCCAACACAGTAAATAATTCTAAGGATAACGCTCTTGGGCACAACTTTGACCTTAATTGACCAACTATTTCTTCTTACGCATTATACAGAATAAACTAACAGGGTCAAATAAACTAGTAAGGATAGTCTATAATTTAGGATGGATATTGATATAAAAACACTGGAAATACATAGCAAGAAGATGAACGATCCTACCGAACTGAAGTGGTAACAACCCTTTACTGCAATAACAGCAAAGCTAAAAGCGTACAAAATTACCTAAATATTTACTATACTGTATAACTAACACCTATTGATTGGATAATATTGTCACACTCTAAATACCTCACAAGAAACCTATTAGTACCATTATAGACCAAGTTAGAGCACAATGAAAGAAGAAATAGAAGGTTTTCAGAAAGGAAAATAAGAACGAGAAGAGAGAATAGACTGCATGCGTGAAAAGCATATATTCGTACTTCTATCCTGAGGGAAGTACTCAACTAGTGACTAGAATTTTTGGTCAAAACGTGATCGACATACCTTGGAGAGAACAGCGAGAAATTCCTTGAGAGCAGCAAGCTCGACTCCCTTGATTTCCTTCTTCAAAGCGATATCGTGGTTGAGGAGATTCTGAAGGGAGGCGACGATATCGGCGGCGTAAACTGGCAATGAGTGGGGAATGGGATTAGTTACCACTTTAGGCGTACTAAAACAAAAATTAGAAATGAGAACATTTGGAGGGTCGGTAAGATAAAGTACATAGAGTAATCAGATGAGTAGTGCATTACAGTAACAAAATTTTTTGTTGTGGTTGGCAACTTGTGACCTTTACGGGTACTGACTCCTTGATAAGAGACTTATTTATAGACCCCGTTATATTATCCGAATTCTAAGATCATATTGATTACTACTTTGAATTTTCCAGTCCCTTTACTAAAGAATTAAATTCGCAAAATCGAAAGATATTGTAGGAGTCTGGAACGTTTTGATATCCAAAAGGGGAAACTAAAAATAATTCTCAATAAGAGTCGACTAGAAGATCAGGATCACCACCTAGCTTTTGTGATGGGAGCATTGAATTTTCCACATTTCTCGAGAGAATTACAATTCACTTTCCTAAATTCAGCTTTCATAACTTTATTTGTAGATCTCTGTGTGTGAGTTCGTCACAGGGTTTATTGGCCGGCAACTTTAATTAAATGATTGGTCAAGTCATTTCAACCCAAAATATGTATCACCTTAGAGACATGAGCAGGGAGATGAAACAAGCAACAGATTCTAATAAATATTTAGTTTAATTAATTTGTCATTTATTATTATTTCAAGTCAAGGTAAGAAATGTGATTCTCCATCATTTAAAAAGAAATAATTTAAAATTATGGACAAGTACCGAATGAGATGTTTGCTCACATTAAATTTATCGCTATTAAAAATCGATAATGCTAATTTTACTTATTTTGTAGTAGGTCACTATTTAACACCGAGGGTATATCACTCGCAAAAGCAAAGAAGTGACAAGTCAATAAATCCAAACTATACCTGATCTAAAGCGAAAGAAAACCCATTCATAGCAGGCGAAAAATGTCACATTTCAGGCAGAATAAAACACAAATCTCGTAATTGCAGGAAGCAATGTGACGATATTAGAAATAAGAACTCCAGATAAACCCTATCTCCGAAATTAAATAATTAGGAAATTTATAGACAATGCTAGAAGATGAAATAGGATATCATTGTATTATAGAACAATGTTAAATACCCGATAATACAACGATTTTCTTTGCCATTGTTATGTCCGCAAGATTTGACCAATTTTAATTATGAGAGAGTTTGAAAAAGGAGTTGACAATAGTGCCATGAGTGTACATCGTCGTTCATATTCTCAAAAGGGCTGAATTCCAGTGTGGAATGCCCTAATATTTCCTTTCAATTGTTTGACCCCCAAATTCATTGGTGAGTATATAATATACTCGGAACTTTCTTAATTGATTGGCCACACATATTTGTCCAAAATCCATCAAATATATATATATATATATATATATATATATAATCTTGGCCAAGTAGATGTGGCATTTGAAAAGCTAACGAATTGAGCTGGATTAAGCCCTAAAATATGACATTTTAAATAATTTACNGTATATAATATACTCGGAACTTTCTTAATTGATTGGCCACACATATTTGTCCAAAATCCATCAAATATATATATATATATATATATATATATATAATCTTGGCCAAGTAGATGTGGCATTTGAAAAGCTAACGAATTGAGCTGGATTAAGCCCTAAAATATGACATTTTAAATAATTTACATTTGATTTTCCGAAATTTCTCCACTTATGGCGAGTAATCATGGGCAATTCATTAAAATTTTTCTTTCAACTTCAAGAGCATACACACTCAATGAACTTCCTTAACACTGTAGTGCAGGTACATAAAGGGTTATAGCGCTAATTTTCTCATACCGCTTTTACCTTAACTATAATAAGTGCAAAAGAGGAATGGGAACATGTGGGGAAATGTTGGAAGGAAGTGTGCGGAAAATAGAATGCAATACATTTTTAAAAAAAGTATCAGTTGTTGAAACAAAATGCAACCAATGGTATCGATATCAAGATAGATATATATCGAGATCAGAAAACCTACAATGCCGCGGATATTTACATCAATTATTAGAACTGCACAATATCTTAAAATAAGAAATGATTTTATTAAAAGAAAATATTTTAATGCGCCAATAGAAGAATTTTCCTAGACTACTTTGCAAGAAAAGCAAACAATGCAATTCGTAAATTATATTTTAAAGATAAACTACTTCTCCAGTTCCTAAAGTCCGCTACTGAAGGTATTGAGAAAACGAATAGACAATTAGCATAAATCATGAAAAGAATTTCCGGTTTTCAAGTTATGGTCACTCTATCAAGTGGAAAAAAAAGATTCTCAGGTAAGCCCAATGTATTTGTGACTGTACATTGGAAGTTCAAGTTAATACAGATCAATTTTGAGACTGTGGGTCAAATGCCATTGTTCGTAAAAAATGAAAGTAATGTTTACTTACTATTGACTGTTCCATAAAAGAAACCATAGACAATTGAAAAATTTCCCGTAAGTTTAAGTCTTTTAAAAACACGAAGGTACTCGAAACGACCCACACTCTTGATGTTAGCTTCTTCTTCCCATAACCCCCAATTCCTATGTATCTCTCCTAAACCTAAACAAATCGTATGCAGAACCAAATAAACTCAACGAAGACATTTCAAAGCCTTCTTTTGCCAGTTCCACAAAAAAGTTCGATTATGCATATTTTTGGTATATCATGCCCACTTCTCTTTACTTCAGTAAAATGCAACTGATAATAAAATAAAAATGCTTAAAGAAATCGAGTAAGTTTCGTAAAAAGCGAAAAGTTAAACAAACAATTAACTCACGTCGTTATCGGTCTATTTTGTTGTTGAGATACTTTTAATTCAACCTTTTGGTACTTGTCAAGAAGGAACTTTTTGACAGCATCAACATCTTCACTAGAATATTAACAAATAAAAGTAATAAAGAATATGCATGCATTTGAAACAAAAAATTAAAAAATGGTTCAAACCTAGTAAAGATGATGTTGCCCAACACATCCTTTACACCGTATTGACTACCCTCTACAATTACGCTTTGCAAAGTTGTCGGGATATTTAGCTGTGTATCAAGAATGATCTAAAACAAAAAAAATATGATTGTGAAAATTCAAATAATATTCTTTTACTAAAACGCCGAACTGGACACTGAACCTACCATAGCCACTTGAACAGCATTCGGTCCGAACACAGTGATGGCGTCCGAAATATTCCTATAAAAAGTCAACGGGTACTCATTTCAAAACTTACATGACTGGAACTAATCGGTCCCACTGTTTTTCGTTCACTAAAATATCGGCAATTTTCTCTCGAAATGTGATATTGGAAAAATACTTCGGAACAACCTGATGCTTGCCTCCTTTAAGAAAAAACTAGCCACATTTTACGTAAAAAAATAAATGACCTTACTATGAAAGTGGGAAAGAATTCAACGTTATATTCGGTGCTAATGTCCCTGTTTACTGGATCGGAGCAATCGATGACGGCAATTTTTACTGCCCAGTTCCAACCTACAGAGCGTTAAAGGAAAAACGAAAAACACAAACTCTCGATTAATTTTGTTAAATTTTTGAACACAGGAGCATAAGTTTGGCAAGTTCCACAAGTGTGAAGATAAAACTGTACTAGTGTCGGTTGGGATTGCACAAAATTCGTAAAATTATTGACATGCAACTTAATTATGTTACTTGCATCATCATATAATTCTGCGGAAACGCCAAATCCAAGAAAAAGTAAAATACTCAAACGGACGATGCCTATCCTACCCATCCAGACTAAAAATGACTTTCGAAACCTTCAATTATTTCAAGTAAACCCGGCGACCTAAAATTAAACTTGATTTGGTCCGTTTAAATTAATTTATGACTCTGTGTCCAAATTATATTAAATCATGGCAAGGGTAAGCATTAATTGTATTTTAAAATGATTTTGAATTTAATATATGTTTTGGTTTAACTTTGATATTACTTTGAGCATTTAACATGATCACGTATTTAACATCAGCAGGATTTGTTCATTGAAAGCTTAATATTTGTTATTTTTTACGCCAAGTATGTTTCGATTTAATTATAACACTTTATATTATAACTACTTAATCGAAGTCAAAAACGAATGCCGAGTGATAGACTTTTTTACCGTAAGAAAATACATTGTCCAGGGTGCACCACGAGGAGGTAAGTCTATCGCGTACCCCAAGTATGTTTCGATTTAATTATAACACTTTTAAGATATTTTACTCATTTAAGATATAGTATTAATCTATCTTCTTTCATTAAGACGTTCAATTTTGATTATATCTATACTTCCGAACAATCAAATCGCAAATTATCAAGGAATTAGTTGCACATTTAAATGGAATGTTGACCATGCATTTGTTAGAACCTGATTCGAGCTACATTTCTCAGTATGATACCGAATTAGTTATAAATTTAATCTAACAACAGCACAGTGTAAAACCACCCCAATTAGAATCAAATAAGGAGACATGCGTTTAATAAGTAGATTTTTAGTATGTATAATTAATAAGTGCCAATTAAATATGTCATTTAAAATAAAAGGGACTTGAAAAGTGGGAAATTAAAATGCCCAATAAGAGATTTTTTGGAAAAATATTAAGTTCGTATGTGAAGCAGTAAATTTTTAGACACTCCACTGTTTATGATAGAGCGAATTATTTTATTTAGTTAACAAACTATCGAATACTTGATCTCACGCTTTCTTTAACGATATATATTTGGATATCATCTATTCAAACGTCTGTGCAACTACTTTGACATGTTCACAGTTGACCAATGCAATAATACGTTTGCAGTTTTTTACACAATGATCCCTTTCCATTTCCAGTATAAAGAACTGTATGATGAGCACGAATGCCTCCGTGGGATAAATCGCTTAAGCGTATTCCGATAACACTAGCGTGAAATTCATTACATTGCAATTCTTTTTCGATTGTTACGACTTCTATACCGATCTTGTTGCAATTCAATCTTAATGAGAAATCTCGTAATACTTCAGTAAACCTCTCACTAATTTAAAACAAAAATGATCTTTTGAAACCCCTCAACCTGTCTATTGGAAAATCTTTTAAATTGACGGCTAACTTATCGCAATCACCAAGTTTTAGTACACTAGTTTCTGTCAATTCTTGGCACAACTGCACAGAAGATGCTCATGTCTTCTCCCCGAACTTTCATTGTAGGTCTTAAACACCCCTTGGACGGAAATTCACCCAAATTCCCTTCATTAAGCATCAGATATCTTTTTACGCAATTGTGCAAGAACTACAGTGACATATCATAAAGTACACGTAATTCAAGCTATAGCCCTAAAGCCGCTTACGACGTAACTTAAAGTCAAACATAAACAACATAACCGATTTTATTTACAATCATCCTGATAAAAACGTAGAAAATACACACTAAGAAATATTTACATATGTACACATGTTAAGATAAAAAATAGAAGTTTTCAAATTTGGTTGAAGGGACCCGCAGTTAAGAGAAGATATGGATGTGCAAATTGCACTGCAAGAACTGTTGTCTTCCGTGTAAAAAACGCATCCTGTAGACACTTTCTCGACACCTCGTATCCTCCAACCACATTGTAGTAGCTATTTCCCTCCAATAATCCACTACCACGGCTTGATTCATCCCTTGCAGCACTGTAAAACCCTAGCAGCGAGGGGTTCGAACTAACCTCTTCTGATGATAACTTAGTTCCCATATTCCACATTCGCACAGCTCCCTCCATTCCCCCACTGGCTAATTTAGAACCATCTGGAGAGAACTTGAGACAGGAAATCGGACCAGTAATTATTTCTCCTGGTGATATAGCACCGGTAGTAGCACCAGAACTCTTTGTTCCAAACATAGCGGTATCACCTCCAAGTTGACCAATTTGGGATCCGTTTCCAATATCCCAAATGCAGATGGCTCCACACCAACCTCCAGATGCAAGATATCGACCACAAGGGGAGAAGGCGAAAGATTGTACAGTGCCCTAGAAGAGCGGGTTGATTAAGAAATAAATACAACCCACCTTATGGCCAGTGTAAGTTCGGCAACACTTGCCCGAGCGAATATCAAAGATACGTACAGCCCGATCAGCACTTCCAGTAGCTAAGTAATTGACATTTGGATGAAACGCCACTGCAGTCACATCGGACTTGTGACCAGAGAAGATTCGCAAGGGCTGTGGTGCATGGTCACAGGCGTAAAGACGAGCAGTTCGATCACTACCCCCAGTTGCCATGTAGTGCCCGTAGACAGGGGCAAAATCCACGCACCTGATATTGTATGCAAAAAAGAAATTACCCACTAATTGCCGTAGCAAAAAGCAGCAGGCCCATCTCCCCAGGGACAAATACAAGAATGATTTCCAGCACTACTATTAGTTAGAGAAATAACTAAATGAGATCTCAATGACAAGTAACTCGACTTATAATATCTCCTTAAGTAGCCAAGCCTAATCAATAGCATTGGCCATCACATGCCAAACTCGGAATTCATTCCACAAAAGGTGGTTAAAGAATTCTCGTTAAAAGACATTCACTCACCAGAGCGGCGTGATATGCTCTCGCCAGACACAGAGAGCACCAGACCAGATAATGGTGGACCAGAGACGGAGAGTCCCATCGGCGCTTGCTGAAGCGACTAACTGACCATCAGGTGAGAAGGCAACTCCGTGAACTGCATCTTGATGGCCGATGAGATCTCGAGACGGTTGAGGTTCCCTGAAAATATAAAGTAAAAAGAGACAAGCATTAGGTATGCCTGTTCCGTCCAAACCAAAAGGTCAAGGAAACGAATATGACAAGGGGTGTACGAATTTCAGCATAATAACTATTAAAGGAGGAAATAGAAGAGGACATGATAAAATTGATATTGCATTCTTTATTCTTCTCATATCTGACCATTGATTAGCAGTCAGAGCTGAAATGGGAGAGAGAGGGACAATTGATCACTATACACAAATAAAACCGTCACCCATCAATCCAGCTGAAGAAAAAAAGAGCCTTCTTAACTTTACATTTCAAATGAGAATTCAACAATATGACACGGGTTAAATAGCGTGTAACATCAGTGAAATGTGAATTCATTATTAGTTTTGAATTAGATAACTTGGTTCGCTCACGAAACCAACACTTAATAAAAGATTATGCTAATAGTTTGTAGCTTTTATGTTCACCAAAAAAGCAAACGTAAGACTTTCTACATAACCTAAATGAACTAAAGCCTATCCAAATAGTCCTCCGAAAGGAAAGAAATTTTGTTCCTTTATCACAGTTAATTCATTACCCCCACGTGGTACACCCTGGGCAACGTATTCTCATACGACAAAAAGTCAATAAACTGACAACTGACTTCTGACTTCAAACTACCATGACCCCACTGTATGTCAAATTCGACCCATTCCGCAGTACTCGTCTTACCTTTTCCCTGCCTTTATGTCTGTCTGTCTCTTTTACATCTGTAAATCAATCTTCTGTTCCTTCCTCTACACTTTTTGTGACATGAATGTTCCTCTCCTCTGTGAAGCCCGAAGTCAGCTAAATGGCAAATGATAAGTACCATAAAGCCCACCATTTGAAATAAATAAACAAATCTTTTATAAAAAAATATTCTAACTCTGAAAGCTAAGCACCTCCAAAATCGAATTCTTAACAAACGGAAGCTATTTTCACATTCCTTGAGCATTGGAAGAAGAAATAAAAATTAAGCCTGTCAATCACTCACCCATCACCATCATGTAGCATCTTGCTTTTAATCCTCGAGTCATTCAAATCCAACTCCTCGAGTTTTTCAGGAGGTAGCATCTGACGGAGTGACTGGGCACCCAGGGCCCATATACGAATTCGACCCGATCCCATACCCCCAGCCAGCATTCCCATATCCTCTGAGAAGGCCATTGCACCCACACCACCGCGTCGTATTGATATGGCCGACTCACCGGGTTGGGCGTTGCAGACTGTGTAGAGAAGGGCGGAAGTCTTTGGATTCGCATCATTCTGAAGGATGCCACGAGTTATCTGGTTGATTTCTCTATGTAATGTACGGCGCTGATCAAGATAGGTTTCTGAAATCTGAAAAGAAAGGATAAAAATAAAGGTGTAAACCAAGGATCTCAGCCTCAAAAACCGTTTCAGTATCAAACTTCCAATCTACATATTGAGACATAATCGATTTAGCATGAATGGTGGCTCATTATACATCGGTGAGAAAAGATCACCGATGAAGTATATCCTCAGAGAACTAATTAAGTGGAATGCTTTCGGAAACTCCACAGTCAGAATTAAATTTTAAAAATCCTTCATTCGATACAGAATGCATTGGGAAAAAACTTTATAGGTTATATTGCCAGTAAACCCTGTGGTTAGAGCGATCAGTTCAACTCCGGTTAAAAGTGGATTACCTGTAACTCAATGACTAATTACCTAATAAAGACGAGATATCATCCTCAGACCCAGGCGTAGAAATCCAATGAACGAGAAGTGAACTTCAGTTAACTTCACCCAGATGCATTGAACCTATCAATACCGTGAAAAAGACCCATACCATATTTTTCATTAGAAAATTTTACTTAGAAGTACTGGGTAAATAAAAAATACAAGTCGATTGAAAGGTATTTATAGGGTTAAATTAAGCAAACCAAACAAAAGAAACTTACCAAAATGAAGCCTTACCGAACAAATGCAAAAATATTAATTACTTCAGCTCAAACAAAGAATCCCTCAAAAGGAAGTTCAAATAAAGGAACTCCAATTAGCGAAACTAATTCTAGAGAAATCGATATACCTAAATTGCATTATGGTTGAAAGAAGAGTTCAAAAGAATCGATGAATGTGACAAAGAAGTAAGTAAATGAGAGAACTTACTAGATCCTTAAAAGAGAACGATAGTCTAAGCCTACTCGCCTCAAATTTCAACAAAAAATAAATCCTTGTTTGTGGAGATAATAGTACTCTTATTAATTCAGAGAATTGAATCAACATTAAGGAAATTAAAACATTCAGGATAGTGTGCAGATAATATAAACCCTTCCCAGCAAAATAGGAAACGTGCAATCAACACTGGAGTTAAGCAGAGGGTAGGTATCCAAGACTCTTTTAAGGAACAGACGTTCTACCAAAACCACTTAAAACCAAAAATTAGCCAGATTATTCACGACAGTGAATCCGCACGATAACCATTGTTCTCTTGGTATCTGTCATGGCAAATAGGCACGTTCATCACTGAGCCATCATCATACACCATTTACATAGCCCAATAAGACGCTAATGAAAAAGTCAAGGACACTCAGAACAGAATATCACAACTCAAAATCGCATTATCTTGAGTTAGTAGAATGAGTTTTACACCGAATCACGAATAAATAATGCACAAAGAGTGAGACTTAACAAAAGAGGTACTGCTAACTTACAGCCGGGAGAGGTACGCGATCCAAAGGTGGAGATTTTAATTGTCCTTTAGAATCATTGTACTTGGATGCCTTACTTCCTATTAAACCCATCTCCTTCTTTTTCTTCTTTTTGGGAGTCGCCTCATGACCGTTATCTAAAGCACAAATGAATGAAGCTAGGCAAAACTAAGTAGTGATGAATTGATCAACAAATGCATTGAATCACTGACCTTGCGTGGCGCTTATCATATCATTTGTATCAGTTGCATCGAGTTCAGATGTAGGGTCTTTAAGAAGACCACAGAGGACAGGTAACGTATTCGCATCCCTTCGCGACTCCCCAAAAATTGCGCCACGACGAGCGTATAGTTGTAGCCTGGCTCTAGGTGGACCGTCGACAACTTCAATTTGAAGTTGATCCTTCATAATGTTTTGGATTATTGTGAGGCCCTTTTCCCGGATAAATCGACGGAAGTGGGAGAGGGAAAGGGATGCTATGCTAATTGAAAAATCCGAGGCTCTAAAAATTTCAACTATTGGATTGGTGAAAAGGTGATTCGTTTCAGTTATGTTGGCTAGAGAATCAATATCCTGTTGGTAGAAATCATCCTGATAAATACGGTACTTCGACATGAGTTCGAGGGCTAGAAACGCTATGAGGAAAAAATAACATTTTTACCCTCATTAGTATAACCGCCACTAATGAGCCTCATGTAGAGTTGAACAAAAATAGGATAGCTGAGGCCCGAGAGCTCAAGCTAAAGGATAGATGTAAAAGAATGCAAAGAACCTTGTGCTCATCTGGGCAATTATCAATAAATTTTAAGACTTCATCATATGCAGAGGCAAAGAGATGAGGATCGTCAGCAGCTTCCCTAAATATAAGGAAACGTGTTGAGCGAGCTAAATGTATCCAGAGTCTTTGCCACCGACCATAAAACTTACGCCTTAAATTCGAGAAATTCCTCAGCTGTGGCATTATCGTTCAAACCAGCCTCTTTCTTTAAAATTGCTTCCGATTCCTAAAATCCATGAATGAAATTTAAAAATTAACCTTGAAATTATATTTTTGAAGTGTTTTGAGGGCCTGTAAAACCTCCGAGTCAACAATAGAGTACATTGCAGGGTGGTAACAAACCGTACAAAAGACAGGACAAGGCTAATCAAGCGACGGCGTCGACCAGTAGAAAGGCCCGGTTATTCAAAATACCTAATCGCCCGTAGGCAGCAATATGATTAAAACAACGTATCGCGACCGATGAAATTTCTGTAACAAAAATTGCCTGCAATTGCAAGCCACCTTTAAACTTTATGTAAAAATAGTCAGACAGAGACTATTATATTCTTTTTTCACAATTTTCAAGGAATATTTGTGCGTTTACTATTCAGCCTATGATTTGATCGGTGTATGACCTATTATCCAGACCCTGATTCTCTTACATCTTACGAATAACGTTGGTATTAGTTGAGTATTCAATTAACAAGTAATTATTTTGGACAATAGTTCAAATAAACATAATTAAAACGTTGGTAGATTAAACTCGGTATTGACGCTGATAATCAAAGCTTATTTTGCATATTAGATTACCATATAATAGATTATTAACTTTTTAAGGAATTCTATAGCCATTATTAGATAAACTTTATATCATTTAATAATACTCCGATAGAACAAAATAATTTATGGATAACAGTGAATTATTAAATTAAATGATGGCTGATAATTTTATTTTTAAATTCATCTTTACTATGTTATCAGTCCCGACCAATTACTATTTTTCAAAGTTTTGATTTTTGTCTTTTCATAAGCAAGAGAACACAGGTGAGAATTAGTCAAACTTCTCCCGTTAATAAGTAAACATAATTCTTTTCTGAAAAATCGCATTGGGTCATCAACAAAGTATTGGGCTTATGACGTCAAATATTACTCACTGTTAATATCTGCATGTAATAATCATTTCATTTTGAATTTATATATACCCTCGCGGATACCAGTTTATGGATTCGATAATTATCGACTTATCGTTCCCAGCAGTCAGTTTTTAAGAAACATTATTGCAAACACAAAATTCCAAACTATATATTCTGAAATACTTCTAATGAGATAAGTGGAATACATGAAGTTAATAAGATTATTCAATAATTCCCGAGAATGCGAAAAATGATAAAGTAAATATTTTATTGCCTTGACAACAGCTATAAATAAAAGAACTGTTCGTGATTGCAAAATTTATGTATTGTGACATATTTCGGATCGAAAATACCGATATTTTTCTGTTATCTACTATTACAGCTTATCTGCAGTTAAGTTTTTTAATGTGTCCGAGTCAAAGTTAAAGTACAAGGAAAATAATAGTTTATAAGTTAATATTGGTCTAATTCACAGACAAAATAATATTTTGAAGGATTTGTAAAAATAATAGTATTGCATGCAGTTTTAAATTGTTTAAAAAAATATTTTTAATAAAATTAACATTAATTTAAACCCTTCACATTTTCAAATGAGTGTTTAATGAATGTATTCAGCACTTTTAAACTTAATTACAACTTGTTTATGATTAGGGCCTAGCTGTTTAGGCGCTGAATTCAAGTCTTCATATTTCGACAAATGTGCCATATTTCTTCTTGTCCTTATACATATAACTGTGGAGCAAACGACAATTATTGCAAGTTTAATGACCGAGTCCATCGTAAGCTTGCTTGCTTTGATTCTCAATTGTCTCATCTGTTGTTTACATTTTGGGAAATTTGTTGTCTTAATTTTAGGACTTACCTACTGAAAGTTTTGAATTCAATAAACCGTGGAGCTTCGGCTCTCACGCCCTTCTCTCTGACGATGATCGATTCTATGTATACCGTCTGTTAGAATGCCAAAAGTGTCGAATTCGGCTGGTCTATCACGGTGTTATTGCTCGTGAATTGTCGAAACGTCCGGAAAATGATTCTTGGCAACCCATCCGATCTAGGCATCACTTTTTTCAACTCACACGTCTCATAAGAGCGGTGCTTATTGCATGTAAACTCCAGAAAAATCTTTATCGCACTGGGGGAAGTATCTGCACTAGTATTCCCCCTCTCCTTGGATTGCCTTTATCCAGACCACCTCGTTTGAGGCGCTGGATTTGTCAATGCCATGCTACAGATCTTTTCCACTACATTTTTTATGCAGATGAGGATGATGTTTACGATCTTCATCTAAATCAGGTTAATTCCACTAAGCCCGCCAAATGGATTCATTACGTATTCCCAAAAGGCTCAAGTTTACTCTATGAAAAGAGCTTGAGTAAATTTGAAAAGACAACTTCTGTTTCACAGTTCCGAAACTCGATCACTTGTCCTAGTTTTTCCATACCTTACGAAGAATTCTTTCAACCATCAAGTGGTTTTGGGCTTCTGATGGGAACGGCAGTTGTTCGAAAAGCAGTCAAGCTCAAATATATGACCCAAGAGGAAATTGATGACGCTAATCGGCGTTTTAATGAGGGTTACAAAGATCTTGACTCCGTTAAGCACGTCGTGAAGGAGGGCAAGTGTGTCCGTTTTCCTAAGTCCTCTCCTGTCACTCGTGTTCATAATTTGATCACCTATGAAACTGCATGCCGATATTTGCGTAGAGACCGTTGTTGGGAATTGTGCTTTATGACTCGCCTCAGGGAAGGTGAAGATAATACAGATGAAGACGGTAATGATGATGGAACCGAAAGTAAATCTGGAGTCGATGAAGAACAAAATCTATCCGTCAACCCAACATCTTCGTCGGATTTGGAAGAACCGATTTCTAATAAGACTCGTGGAGAAGAGGCGACGCAAGTCTCTAAATCTGTTTATTTTGTTGGAGACAATGTAAATGAAGTGGTTCTAGGGGAAATCCATCCTACTAACGCTTCTCCTGATGAAGGATGCGTTTCAGAGAGTACTCTTATAGAAATTGAGTTAGAAGCCCCTAAATCTACTGATATGTGCGAAACTTCCTGCCAAAGCATATCGTCTGACATCGTCGCTCTTCAGAACAACAGTGCAGTTGTTAACAGAAGAAAGGGTCGTCGTCGTCGTAGACGTAGTGATATTACTTGTGAAAATGTCAACAAACCAAAGTCTTCTCAAATTTCTGTTTCTTTTCCTCATGGCGTTGTCCCTCCCACGTCTTCATTCCAAGGTGGATCTGCTGCCACTTACATCCAACAAATATCGACCCTTTTATTTGACAACTTGTATTCTTCCCCTACAGAAACCCAACCTTCCGCTGTTAAACTTGTAGATGAAATTTGTATTTCTGAGGTATCTCAGAAATCTTAAACTCACGCATTACGTTTTGTCTGTAATTTATGTATTCTATGTGCTATTAACAAAGGTCTGGTCTAGTGTTTTTATTTAACTTGGTTTTTTGTCAGTTCCTAGCACTAGTAACTAGAAGGGACAATGAACTCCTTCAGGGTCGCATTGATTTTTTAGCAGACTGATAGAGTAGTATTGGAGGTAGGGTTAGTTATTGGTTGAGTAGAGTTCTTAATCAGTGAAGGGCATTCATGTAGCGATTACTGCGATTCTGAACGAGCCTTAGTCATTTGACATTTTCTCTGGTTTCTGCTTTATCGTGTTATGCCAGGAGGTAGGATTTTTGTTGTTAAGGTATCCGCTTCTAGGTAATTCCAGTGGTGAGCCACCTAACCAACTCGGGGTAGAGGCAACTCTGGAATATAAGGCTAGTTTCGAGTAGTTTTCTACGCTTTTATGTGTTAATTGAGAAATAAACTACCACAAATGAAGGTAAATAAGTTTGAAAATTAACTTATGATCCGGTGTTTAACAAGCCTGTTGAAGGGTTACCAGTGTCCAGGATCATTGGATCTCCCTAGAATTATAACTTTCTTTTTGTGAACGTAAATCACTAATTTATTTGACTATTTCTGATCCAATCAGAATGTTGTTGTTTTTCAGGAGATGCTCTAAAGAGACTTGCTTAATGTTTAGTACCAACGCTGTGTTTAGCACTCTAATCTATGCGGAGTATTGATCCAATAGATGATGCTTAACAAGTGTCTTTGTTTCTGTTGCATTCAAATTTACCTGGAAGCTTTAAATACCGCCGTTCGAGACTAGGAGGAGGATTTTGCAATTAGGCACAGAAATATACTTGTTTGGCTTCTTTTAACCACTGCAGACCTGTCAAACAACAGACTTCCTTGAAGTCTTAATAAATTGGCCTGATGACTCGAAAGAAGTTATTAGATATAAGAGCAAAGGTGTTCCATCATAGCTGAACAAAACACGAAGTCTTCTTTGGTAAGTAAATGATAGATAAGAGTATATATCAGTGACTGCTATCTAGACTTTTTCTAATGATGGGTAAGTATGAGTCATTCTCTGTCTAAATGACCGATTTTCTGATTGAAAATGCCTCTCCTCAAATGACCCTTTTAAGGCTATAATTCGCCGAGGATTAGAGATTGTGAATAGTATTCAGCGGAGAACTATATGCCAGCCCTCTTCTTTGCCAACTATCGAATACGCTAAGATGTTTGGAAAAAAAACTTTTTAATTGATAATTTAAAATGTTCTCTAAGCCGAGAGCATTGGTCTTTTATAACATATTTCCTCGCAATAACGTTTTTTTAAAAAGATTCATTTTCAATTAACCTCCTTTAGTGCTTAAGTTGATATTTTCTGCTTTCTACGAGGTATCGAGCCTACCTATGATGAGTATAAACGGTCAATATCTGTAATGGACCCAGATGAACCCACTTAAAGAGGACTTAATTGAAATCCCAATGCTATGTGATATGGTGACATTTGAGTGATAATATCAAGGCTCCTTTTATTATCGACACACCCACACTTGTCTAGACTTTCTCCTGGCTTTTGTGAAATAATCTTCGCTTATAATTTCTGCTAAATAGATCACAACTAATCTTGACTGTAAGCTATAATAAGGCGATCCACGTTTAATTATTCCCACTGGGCAAATTGGTAAAGCCCCGACTTTTGCACCACGTTGGGTTTGTAATTTCATTTACAAATTAGTTTACGGACGTCTCCTTGGATTAGTTTTTATTTATTTATTCAGATTTCATGGATGAAACTGCATCTGAGTACACGTCAGGTGGAATGGGATAGCGGGCAATATTTCATTATGCAAAAAGTTCCTAAACTTGGTCGTTGCTGGTGCGTATTCCTTAGCGAAACGACATTTGAGTGTTAAGAACATGACTTATTTCAGGTCAATGCCAAGTCGTAGACCTCAGTCCTAATCTTTCAAAGAGCATCCAATAGTGGTCCATTGGTCAACTATTCAGTGGTTATAAAAGCTTTGAGTAGAATAGTTTAAGGTAATAGGGTTTTGCGGATTCTTTCTTTCAAGTTTAGGCACTAAGAAAAAGGCATGGTAGTCATTTATGTATTTATTTATATCAAATGGTAGGTGTTTTGATAGCTATCATTAGGCATTTAGTTGACTTCGGGTTTCACAGAGGAGAGCAACATCAGAATGAGAAAAAGTCGAGAAGGGGAACAGAAGAGTGCTTCACAGTTGTAAGAGACAGGCAGTTACAAAGGTAGGGAAAAGGTAAGATGAGTACTGTGAAAGTGTTCGAATATGACATACAGTGAGGTCAGTTTATTGACTTTTTTACCATATGAGTACACGTTGCCAAGGGTGCACCACGTGAAGGTAAGTCTATCGCGCACCCCAAGAAGGGCGGTCATTGATTGAGATACACGCTCAGAGCAAGTCAATAGTTATTGTTATTTTATCACGTACTTTCATTCGTAACTTAGAAGTGACCTTGCTTCAGCAAAAAGAATTTGCACTATTTATAAACAGTTCCTTCTCAAAGGTGAAATTATTATGTTTTGTCCTTATTATGACCCTATTGGCTGTTAGTTCCATTGATCTTGTTCGAGTCATTAATTTGTAATTGAAAAGCAATAACCTTAAATTATGGCTAGAAACGAATAGTTCAAAGTGTTTGTACCAACTAGTAGAGTTAAAATAGATTAAAAGACTACTGTACTTTCATTTCGCTATATTATATGTTACAGGCAACATCAGAGACAGCTTCGTTGAAAGCGGACGAAGCGATTTTAATTTACGCAGGAAGCAGACCATGGAGTTTCGGGAGGCATGCAATGTTCTCCTATGACGACCAATGTTTCTTCCTTCGTATCTTGGAATGCAAGAAGTGTCAATTGAGGCGCCTCTATCATAAACTTGCAGCCAAAGAACTTGCTTCTAGAAATGCCGCTGAGTTAATCTCCGAACCCATTAAAATTAAACGCCATTTTCATAGTATTACCCGACTACTCCGAGTGATCAATTCTATCGACCAGCAAATCAAAAACACCAAATCACGTTATGAACAACTTCAAATCAGGAAAATGGTTTGCAACGAGCACGTGATAGACGTCTATGAGTTTGTTATTCGTGCGGCGGATGATAATGTTCACCATCTCCATCTCTCTGGTATAGGTTCTTCACCTCCCGCAAAATGGGTCAAAGAAATTATTCCTCCCGGTCAAACAGAACTCTACTTCGTTGGCAGTGGTTGGAAGAGACGAGATTTCCAAACCTCCATTCTTTGCGATATTGTCAACAAATCAATGACTCTCTCCCCAGAGAAGAAACAAAGCAAAGCCATCCGGGATGCAAATAGAAGGTGGGCGAAAGGTTATAGTAATGTTGAGAGTGCAAAAGTGGAACAGAAGGAGGAAGGAAAGAGTGTACGGTTTGCTCGAGGCAATGGTCTTGTGACAGAACATCGGCTGATATATCATGCTGGAGCGGCTAAAATTCTTCGAAAGGATAAAACATGGGTACTTGAATCACTGCATCGCCAGCTAATGGGGGATGAAACAGAGGAACCCAAGAAATTGGGTGAATCTAATAACAGGAGAGTTGCCAAGACTTCAGTCCAGCCAGAAGAGGATAAAGGGGAAGACGGAGAGGGAAATGTCGAAGAGAAGGAGAACTTTGAATCCATTTCTTTTGAAAATGAAGTTGCTTCGATCATCTCCAGCGCCAATTATTATGCCAATGATAATTCTTCAGAAGAAAAAAGTTCAGGAAGTCAAAAAGAGGATTCAGAGGAAGACTCTGATGATGACTTTGCAGACTTTTAAAGATTTCTTACATCTCCCTCCCCCTTTTCTTGTTCAATGGCTTCTCCCCAAATTTTTATTCCTCAAATGAGAAAATTTTATGGATTACAGACTTTTTACTATGTGTTGTTGATTACTCGTACTTGGTGGTACTGTTCACTCTTTTCAAAGCACTTTTTAGCATAGTGAGTACTAGATCCCATTAGAAGGTGTTTCGGACTGCAGTCGGCTAGGTTTCTTTATAAGATGTAGGGTAACAGTGAGAAGGTAGGGGGGGGGGGATGCATATTAGGACAGAGGTGGGTCTACATGTCTCCTTATAAGGACTAAATTTTGGCTCAAATGGTGTGCTACTATTGCATATCCCTATAAACCCTTAATACATCAGGTGGGCAAATTAAGGTAAGCTCTTTTATAAGAAAGGTAAGTGGTAAGTTGTTATTTTCGTCACCACAGAGCGTGGTTGGGCTATCGGCATTTGAACTTCCTTCGTTTTTCATTAATCAATAGGATGGCGAATTAGGGAGACCGTTGGATGTAGAGTATTAGTGTAAAACAGAAAATGAGAAAGTTAGTAAGTGCGAAGGAGACCGTATGCGTGTGTGAGTGTAAAGATGCGGGGTTAGGTTATGCTGCGTTCGTAAGTTGAAGTGCATTTTAAGTAAAACGGCGACGGATTAGAGGCACTGGAATCAAATATGAGTCTTGGAAAAGATGATGTTCTAGGTGTACTCAGGGCGAAGTTAACTAGAATCGTCTGATAAATTTGGATAGACGTGATTGACTTTGTCTCCAAGTAGCGGACTAGATGCAAGATGCACGATGCAGATCTTTTGGAATTAAGGGGGCATACGTTCTAGGAGAACGAAGAGGTGCAGAGAGAGAGAGAGAGAAAGGGAGGGAGGGAGGGAGCTATAAAAGTAGAGCGTTGTCAGGGCACACAGTTGGAAGATTAAAGGAGAAGATGCCTACAGGACCCGACAGTAGGCGGTGAACGAGAGAGCCGACTTAAGACGGTATGTGGACTGGGACGCAGGTGCCCGGTCAGAAATGAGATCGCTCTAGGCAAAGGCCGTTAATGAACAATACCAGGAAGTTAGAATTTAAAACCTAACTGATAGGATGAGGGTTCTTAATGATCTTCAAGGAAAGATGCAGTCTATTAAATGGGATATCTGATCCTCCTCGTTTGCTGCTTTACAGATGAATATCTAAGCCATGAAACCCTTATTTTATACAATACTGTACCCCATGGAAATTTTGAAAAAAACCATTACAACTTTAAATCATAGAGGAAGAAGAGAGTCTAAACACACAACAAAAATTAAATAGTTCAATGAAAGGGGAAACGGAGGTGGTTGGGTTGAAAAGGCGAATATAATTAAGTTGAGATAACAGGCTATTATTCACCTTCTAGAAGACTGCAATTGTTCAAACTATGTTGAGGAATAAGCACAAATCAAAGCTACATTACCATGAATTTCTAATAGATTCAGGTTAAATTCGTGTGCGCTGCTAACCGAATCTGCTAAACCGATTTGTCATGTCAAATTAGGTCATTTAGCCAACAATAAACACATTGATTTGTCACCTTGGGGCCTTGTAAACATAGCCTACCCGAGGTTGAAAATATTGTAATTATTATTTTCAAATAACACCAGAAATACTAAGAGCGAAAGATGAAAAATACATATTATTGATATTTTGTAAACTGAGATAATCACATTTTCCTGAAAGCATCCGATTTTAATAGTTATTGAGTTATCACTCATCACATTTGTTGTAATATCTCGAACAGCCAACAATTTTTACCCTGTATAGCATTTAGGGCAGAGAGTATGGTCTGGGACCTCTCATTCGTTTGAGTTTGTCAAACTCATGTGAAACTGACGGCCCCGAACACAGTCTATTTTGCACTTTAACGGTGCAAGCGCGTTAAATTAGTCCCAGCTCTGGCCTGGCAACTTGGCGCCATTGAATGGTTGATGGCTTGCATTCGAATTATTTTACTGCCATAGTCTATCAAATGCCAATCTTAAGTCATGAAGGTTTTGCTTTTTTCGGATCAAGATCTTCTTTTACTCTTGATCCAAACAGATTGCAAGCCAATTTATTAAGGCGTCTTCCAACACTTAACTCCAATTGAAGGATAGCCCCTTATAGTCACCCTGTTGACAAATCTGAATCCTGTCACTCCCTTGAGTAGCCCTCCTCCCCCCTCCCCCCTATAATCAGTGTATATGTCAATATAGCTCACTGGTTGTTCATTAACAGTAGTAGAATCGTTTATCTCTGGGTTCAAAGATAAGCACATTAACCACTGAGTCATACCTAAAAAGCGTTTTTAATAATGTCATATCTATCTATCAGTATTTCCCACACACCTCAACTCCCAGAATTCCTTTATGTATGAAGAGTGCTGCGTACGATGAATCTCCATTAACCATGAAAATTTATGGTCCATCTTGCACTGATTTTACCGTAAATCTATTAATTCCTCGGAGTAGCATATTCTAAATATCAGAAATCTCAAAATGTTTAGTTTATGGAGTTTGTCCAAAAGGAAGTAGGAGGAATGAGGGGTGTAGGACACGTCATCGCATGCCTGCACGCCAGGATTGGGAGGTGCGACACATTAACCTCTGTTTGTTTAACCTAATCGGCCATCCTGATCATGATTAGGCCCACTACGTGTACACTTTATCCGCAATATACTCACTGAATAAACGTGCTCCGTGCTACACGTCTGTTTCCTTTATAGCTGGGCTATAGCTTAGCGCAACACGTCTGTTTCCTTTATAGCTGGGCTATAGCTTAGCTGAATTATACGTCTGTTTTCTTTATAGCTGGGCTATAGCTTAGCTAGTGCTGGGAGTCTAGCTAGATGTAGGAGAATCTGCCATAGAGAGAGCTATAGCTTAGCTGTTCTGGGAGTCTAGCTAGGTGTTGGAGAATCTGCCATAGAGATTTCGGTCAGGCTTTACTAGCGTAGCAATCCGCTACAATGCAATGCAGTCAGGCTTTCTTAGGGAGCAATCCGCTACAAGTCTACAAAACAATATACATAACTTAAGGGGAAACGAGCTTTCATGACTGTTGCTGAGATGTTGGACAAGATCAATGTCGTTGATGGAAGAATACCATGTCATTAAGCAAAAATGTCCATTATTAATCAGAAATGGCATTAAAGAATACAGCGAAATTTACTAGAGGAATTGTCAAAGAGTTAAGGCGCTACCACTTCTGTTTCATAATAAATTCACATATTTCCTATTGCCAATATGGGAAATTCCGGACACCACGAATTCATTTGATTTCATAATCACCCTCCTCATGTAAGACTTAAAACAGACGGGATTGTGGTCAATTCACCTACGTTACTCTATCTCTTAAGCATTTACGAAGAGCCAGTGAGATCAAGGGTCCAAACGAGCAATTTCATACTTTCCCGCATCTTTTGTGCTTCATTTGACATTTTAATGAACCCCGAAACGACAACCTATTTTGATTTTATATTCAGACATTCCTATGTCATAAAAACTATCTTTTAAGCATTCATTTTCGGCAGACTGGTTTTAGCCAGGAGTCATGATAGTTCTGGTCGAATGTTGTCCATAGGCGAGCTCAGCTCACTAAACGTGAGCATTAAAAATACGGTTTGGGTATGGAGATGCATAATCGAAACGAATGGAAGAATCACACCCAACAGGATCTGTGTGCTCCCTCTGACAGATATCGATTGGCAGTCATGCATGGCATGAAAGAGGCAGAAATCGACGAGTTGTAGAGTTCAATCATTGGTGTGATTAGAAACGATATATATATCTTAATTAAATTCGCAGCCCACATAAGAGATAGGCTTGACGATAGGTTTCTCACGTGACCAGACTCTTATGATCTGGTTACAATAAGTGGATAATCAAAGATCACTGGTTTAACTTGGTTAAATATTAGAAAAGTTTCTCCCAGGACGCACGGCGCCTCTGGGGTGCGATAGACTTACCTCCACGTGGTACACCCCTGGCAACGTATTCTCATACGGCAAAAAGTCTATTAACCGGCAGTTGACTTCTCACTTCAAATTGCCTGACCCCATTGTGTGTCATATTCGACCACTTCCACTGTACTAATCCTACCTTTTCTCTGCCTTTGTGCCTGTCTGTCTCTCTTTAAAATCTTTGGATCACTCTTCTGTTCCCATCTCCACTTTTTCTAGCTTTGCGTGATAAATGCCATAATGCCCGCCATTTGAAATAAATATAAGTATTTGAAAAGTCGAGTCCCACCAAGCAATTTTAGTTGTCATGTAACCTTGATTTAGATTGCTGATATTTAATAAATATTAGTGCTTTCAAAAGAACATCAAGGTTACCAGAACGCTGTCAATCCCACGTCTTAACTTCAGGCAATAAAAAATGTCGAAACAACAAACGAGTTTCTCGAGAGAACAGCTATACCACATCTTGCAATACAATACCCTTTGACGACGATCCGCTGATGAGCTTTAGAAGCCATTCTTCCTTAACTTATTTCTGCTCTCACCTAACTGAACTGCTGTTTTTTTGTTTTTTATATAACCTCAAAACTCTTGATGGTTCACTAATCTTTCACGTGGGCTGTAAACAAGTTTTCTCACCACAAAAGTCTATATTCATTGCTGCCTTGTGCTATGCCACAAAATTAATTGGAGATTATTCTTCTAAAGGCCCCCCTTTTTAATCTAATTGCTCGATTATTTCCTCAAATAAAACAAACACACAATTAAGATTGTGAATATTTAAAGGACGTTGAAGTTATTTTTTGAACTAATTTTGGTCAAGTCAGATAGTGGGCATTAAGGTGCTCAAAAGAGTACGATGTTAGTCATTTGTTCCCATTAGCAGAGCAAAAATGATACAAAAACCTTTAAGACTAGTTAAACTGCACCTTGACCTGGCTTGCATAGCGGATTGCTACACTAATTAACCTTGACTATACTCAGTAATCTCATTGGCAGATTCTTCTAGTTGGAAAGGCTTCCG